ACAGTTCATCACCTAATGTGTCACCTAATCAACAAATTTAAATTGTTTACAAATTAAAATATGCAATGAATATTAAAATTGTATCAATTGTTTTAAATAGTTTTTTTTGTTTCAAATTATTAAAACTTTTAGAACATAATAACGTTTTAATAGAAAGAATAAATTATTGATATGTTAATACATATATCACAGAGAGGATAGAACATAGAAATAATATATTATTAACAATTTTTTTTGTAATATAATAAAAATAATAATGATTACAAAATTATATATTAGATTAATCGATTAAAATTAAATTTGTATTTGCATATTAAAAGATATTTAAATTAAACAGAAAACATGCATTGTTAAATACAGTATTTTGGATTAATTGAAAAGCGTAAAATATCTTTAAAATTTTAACTTTATTTTAACCTAATAAAAGTATAAAATCAATAAAAAAAAACTATAACTTGAAATAAATTTAACTTAAGATATATAAATAATTTATTATTAATATATATTTATCTAGTAATGGAATAATAATAAAAATAATGATAATATTATTTAAAAATTATTAGACGCACTTAGGGTTTTTAGCAAAATGTTTTAAAATTAACTTTAAACAAACGTTAATCACTATGAATTGTGTAGCATTAGAGATAATATTAAGAATAACTTTAAAAAGATTACAGAACATAAATACTACATAATTTTATATATTGAAATGTAAAAATATTTCAAATATCAACCCTTTAGATACAATTTTTCATTACTTAATAAAAGTATAAAATCATTAAAAAACTATAACTTGAAATAAATTTAACTTAAGATATATAAATAATTTATTATTAATAATATTTATCTAGTAATGGGCTTTGGAATAATAATAAAAATAATGATAATATTATTCAAAAATTATTAGATGCACTTAGGGTTTTTAGCAAAATGTTTTAAAATTAACATAAATATTTCAAATATTAACCCTTTAGATACAATTAATTTAATAGAATGATAATTTTAATATAATTACAAAATTATATTTTTAATTAATCAAAATAAATTTCTATTTGCATAAACAAATATATCTGTAAATAGGGCACACACACATGTTAAATTCAGTATTTCTAATTAATTGAAAAATTATAAAATTATTTTTGAATTATAACTTTGATTTAACATAATAATAATAATAATTAAACCAGTCAATTTTAAATTAACTTCTTTGTGCGCAAACCTTAAAGGTGTCTGTATCCTTAAACAAATTAAAATAGAAGACAGAATAGATGTATAAAATCATTAAAAAAAATATAATTTGATATAAAATTAACTTATATTTTAATTAACACAAATCAATCTAGAAATAATATTTGCATTAATAATTTGTTGCCCATATAAGGGCATGATGATATAATATGACATCCTTATATGAGCAATCATATTACAAAACTAACATAAACACACACAAATGAATTTAAGATTTTGACAATAACATTTTAAAAGTAAAGTTAGGCTGTTACTCTTTAGATAGTGTATGTATTGGAAATAGTTTTAAACATAATCAAGGAGAAGTCTTTAATTTTAAAAATAATCAAGGAGAAGTCTTTAATTATAATTAAAAAAAATAATAATAATAACCAAATTTCTTGTTACATTAGTTATACATATTCAACATCACCCATCAATAATCAATATTATACAGTCTTTTGTGTTTGTGTGATGTGCTCTACCAAAGGAAATATTTAAAAGTAAATTAAATTCACAAATTATCATTAGGCCGACTAGCCCTCCTTAAACTAACGTTAGAATACCGCACTTGCGGCGGTAAAGAACAATTAAAACCTCATAAAAAAGGCAACTAATCCGTTTACCTATAATTGAATCCAAGGATAATGTGTTAATCCAATTAATATAGTGAGATAACGTAATGTTAGTTTATCAAGGGCAGGTTGAGCTAATGAATAAATTGATAATACTTATTAACACTTATATCTAATATATATTTCCACTATTGAATAAAATAATTTAAAAGATGCTGAAATACACAAATTTCTTTTAAGAATTAATATTTATAATGTATATGACATTTGCTTATAATGCACTTGGAATACAGATAAATAGAAAACAAAACAGTTTTATGTAATCTACCCATATAAGGGTAATTATAATAAATTGATAATTAAATTGATAAATTGACTAACGACATACCGTATAATAAATTGATAATTCTTATTAACGCTTATGTCTAATACATATTCCCAATATAGAATAAAATAAATTTAAAGATACACACATTTCTTTTAAGAATTAATATTTTTAAAAATGTGCACAATCAATGGAATATTAGCTTATTAGAAAAAATAACTAAATGCTGAAAGTAAATAAATTTAATTTAAACATTTAAATTTAATTACATCTAACATAATAATTGTAACTTGAGCAGTTAAATGGTCAAGTTGCTTTATAGTACATATTGACATTTGCTTATAATGCACTTGGAATACAGATAAATAGAAAACAAAAACAGTTTTATGTAATCTACCCATGAAACATAAAAGAATTTGTAAACTTACAGATCAAATTTCTTCAATTAAACAGTTCAAAATCTTAAATATTCAAAATATGTAAGTACTAAAATAATCATGATTTTAATTAATCATAAACATAAATTTTAAACAAAACTATTGAATTGGAAATGTTAATAAAAAATAATAATAGTATGCTATAAACCTGTACACTAAAAAGTAAAACATAATGAAAAAATCTAATAACATAATAAAAATACTTTCTTTAAAAGTTATATACAGTTTATTCGAATAAACGCCTCTTAATTTCCCAGTAAATGTGGAACAACAACATATGGATACAGTCAAAACGTGTTATTGCATGATGATAACGATTTATCAATTCTAACCCAGTTAGAAAAATTTGAGGGAGGTTCTTATTATTCCAAATGAGGCTCTGGAGGGGGGGTTTATTCAAAGTGGGCGTTTATTCAAATAAATACTGTAATTAAAAATTCAAATATTTATATCCTTTCAAAAATTTTGCTTTGGTAAAGTACATCATATATACACAGCATTTAATCAATATAAATATAGACCTTAATAAACAAAAACCTTACCCCATCTAAGTCATTTTAAAGTTTGTCCTAAGATTTGAAGATAAAATAATGATAAATACAAACATTAAAGAAAAGCAATTAATAATTTTTAAAATTTTTTAACTAGATTTTAAACATTATAATTTGAAAACAGGATGATTGTAATAGAATTAATATATTTTAATAGGATATTTTAAGATAGAATTATACTTGACACTAATTTATTTACTAAATAATTAATAGATAAATATGACTTCTCCTATAATTAGCAATATTTGGTGCCAGCAGTGATATGAAGAGCGATCGATTCAGGCAGGGTATGGCTGAAGAGCTGCTGTTCAGAACACGATGCTTAGGTTTAGTATTACCAGAGGTGCCAACCATATCAAATTGTTTGCAACCAAATTTAGTTCTGTACTGCACAGTTAATGTTGTTTCCTGAGTGTAATCTAGGCAACCAAAAGCACTTGTAAATTTATATCCTGACGCCAGTTTAAGTCCCATACTTTCTGATATATAAATAAAATACATAAATATACTCTAAATTTGTTTCCAAATTATTTAAATCTTTTAATAAAATATAATTTTAAATTAATTTTATTTAATAATAGAGTTAAAATAATTAAAATCAATGCAAAACAAACTAGTTATTTAAAGCTTTTTTAAACAAAAAAAAAACTTAAATTCTTTAATTTAATTTTAAAATTGCATTAAAGTAATTCTAAAAAATTAATTCTTAAGCAGCCAATTCTAAATTCAATCTAAACAAATAAATAATTTAATTTAATAAAATAACATGTTAGTTCATTTAAATAATTATTTAGCAACATTAATAATGCTAAATTTAATCTAATTTCAAAATTATTCGTATTTGAAAATTCTTTGACACTAATCATTTAATTATTAAAAATATAATTCCTATCCTTGGCAAAGATTGGGAAGAGGGTTGGCGATCTTGCGTGGGTTGTCGTCCATCTTGGGTATAGGGTTCTCACAGGTATTTTACTCATCTTGTAATTTACATTGGACTTGTAGCTTGTATTGAGAACTTTGCAGGTTTCTTCGGGCACTCTTGCTGCTTGGCAGTGGTAGTGGGCATGACTTGAGGTAGTACTTGCTGTGTAGTCGAGTCAGGTGAACCTGTTGGTGGGGGCTGCAGGGGTTGCGGAGAAGTGCATTTTTTTTTTTTTTTTTGTAAGGAGTTTGCTACAATCGAATAAATACAACACAAAATTGATTCAAATTCTCTTGCCTTTATTTGTTCCTTGCATCATTACAATTTTTATAATACACCGCCCCCTAAATAAAATCCCTCATTTTATTTAGAGGGTTCCTGCATTAAATAGCGCCCCCAAATCAAATGAGGCACTGCTCACGTTAAAGTACCCTCTTTATCCATAGAGGGCGCTCTTTACCGTCAACAGCGCCCTCATTTAATTTAGGGGCACCTAATGCAATGTAGCTCAAAGATCTTGTAACAAACTCGCAATAGTATTTTTGCAACATGCAGTTCGGATTTCATTATGCGTACAAATAACTTTTGGAGGGAGCGCTATATAAAATAAAGTAAACAATTTTTTGGCAGTCTCATGAAATTTCCCATGAATTATCCAACTAACAAATTATTGGAGAACCATATCTTAATTTAGTAAACAAAATTGGCTTCGTACACATTTCTTTGCACAGGGAGCAGTTTTATGAAAGTTTCAGTCACTTTTTCTCAGATTGTCAATGAAAGATTTTAGTACATGTGTACAAATAAGGTTTTTGTAATGAGCTCTATATAAAACTCAGTAAACTAATTTGGCATTGCATTTTTCATTTTTTGAAGGGAGGGCTATATAAAATTTAGTAAAACAAATTTGGCTTTTCAATTTCTTTCCCAGTTCCTTGAAAATTTTGCCCCCCCTTTCATTTTTTGAAGGGAGGGCTATATAAAATTTAGTAAAACAAATTTGGCTTTTCAATTTCTTTCCCAGTTCCTTGAAAATTTTGCCCCCCCCCCCCCGAGTACAGATAGGTTTTTGGAGGGAGCGCCATATATAAAATTCAGTACAGTAAATAAGTTTTGCTTTGTATGATTTTTTGCAGAAAGCAGTTTTACGAGTCTTTCATGCATTACGCTTACAAATAGGTGAGAGCGCTATTTTGTTACAAGATCTTTGAGTAAATAACTAACCCACTTACCTCCAGTCTTCTTGTGTCTGTACCATTCTTTGCCGGCATACAGCATAAATTTATTAATACATATACCATAGGCCTATCTAATTCATCAATCAATTACGTATTTGAATTACTGTACTGTATTAAAGATATTGTCTTCATATGTTACATAACTGATACATTTCTAATACTTTGATTACATTTAAATAAATCCTAATAGCATCTCGGCTTCTTGCAGATGGGTTCACGGTAGATGGCGTTACAGAGCGTTGACTTCATTTTTTTATGATTATTATAATATAAAATATATTTTTCATTGTGGTTGAATAACATTAAAACATTAGTTTCTTGTATCTTTCAGTCAACTCTTCTCTTCATATCTGCAAGATAAAAAATGTAAAAAATTAACTAAAATTGTTGAAATAAATACTATATCATACAGTATAATATGTAAATGTTACTGGTATATATTTTAATTGAAAAAAAATATATTATGGTATTACTGTACCGTAATCATTATCAGGTGAATCTTGCATTCATCTTGAATCCACATCTGGCAGTGAAATCGTACCTGTAAAAAAAAATTATATACGGTATACAGGGTGTCCTTAGTCTTTCAAAAAGCACCCTCTATACTTTCGACTTTGCCCAACTCAAAATTTGAAGTCGAACTATTTTACATGTCAAATTGTTGCGTTTTCCATTAACAATCTGTGAGTCGAACAATTTTTCAATGGTATTTTGGATTTGACTTGGGCAAGTTCAACTGTATATAGTTAGGGCAATTTTCGCAGTAAAAAATGGCCTCTTGTACTGTATATTTGTTTGAATCCCAGTTGGGGCACATCTTTTTCACTCTCTCAAATTCCTCTACTATAACGTTTAAAGTGTATTTATTATATACATATATTTTAGCATTACCACAATAAGGTTATAGAGGTCTTCATTACGGTTTACAGTATTTATGATGAAAGTATCTCTTCAGAAATCTTGTCAATTGCCATCAATGTTTATAAGAGGGTGTATCGCGCTGATCTTAGTCCATGCATTAAGGACTAGTTCTGTGCATGTGTGAAGAATTAATGTAGATGCTTTGTTCCATTAATACGATTATATAACATCTTATGTTCTTATCAGAGCACCTATTATTTATTTGTTTATACATTATAGCATTTCACAAGATGGTTTAGATTTTTTATATATATACACACATGTTTAAATTGTTTTGCATTATGTGGCCATTTTTTTGGGGGGGTTTATTCCATTTGCCTATTAATCTAACAGTTAAACTTGCCTAAGTTGAATACAGTAATTTTTAAGTTGATCTTATTGTACATGCCAAATTGTTGTGTTTTCCATTGTTTAACAATCTGCAAGTAAAATTTTATCCAAATCAAACAATTTTTCCAATGTCACTTTGGACTCGACTTTCGCAAATTCAACTTGTTTGTATGTACATGTTGCCTTGGTTTGGCTTTGTGGTCCAAGTGCGGCTGGCCTGAGATCTGCTAAGCGCATTTCGGAAAATAAGGCCGGGCCGATTTTCACGCCACGCCAAATTTTGCACAAAAATTATGCTTTGACCAAATCCTAATAATATATTACAAATGTATTTCGCAGTAGGCTAATTCTTTGTGAACCTAGGCCAATGCCGACTGGCCAGCAATAATGCTTCTGTCCCCAGCTGGATCAGCTTACAGTATTATTGGGCCCTCCTCTCTACTAGGCATGGCAGAAGCAACTGTAATTTTTCAATTTGTTCAAGACTACTTACAGATTTTTCAGCACATTTCGTACTAAAAAAAATCCTTGTCCAAATAAGTCAGAAATAGAGTGAAAGCCACAACTAAAGAGATATTCTACTGTGATTTACCATGGAGACATTATATATAATCGTTCACTTAAATCTCCGTGGATTTACAGAGAGGTGGTGGTAAAAGCAGCACATGCTCACCCTGCGAAGCGCCCTCAATCATAAAAGAATATTATACTGGGTATTATTGAAGATTAGAGGTCCGACCTGGTCCGACTCCCGGGGATTCGTTGGCCTCTATTAAAAATCCGTTTTAAATATTACTTATTTTGGAAAAAAAAAAGTTTCATAAATGAATACGAGCTTAAGTTACATTTATATAGCGCATATTGCGCAGTGCCTCTATGCACTTTACATGGAATAATAGTAATAATAATAATAATAATAATAATAATAATAATAATAATATGAATAATATGAATAAGAAATACTGATATAATGATAATATATGATTTGCTTATTTGAATTCAGTACGATTTCTGGCATTTCATTTATTTCAGTTACACCAATTAAAATACATGAAAAAGAGAGCAGGTGGAGAACTCTGCAGAACACAAACAATGTGGCCTAAGAACAAGGTAGGAATTGCTTTATTTAATTTTAGTTCAAGAAAGACATACAGTACATATAAATGAAGCAAATGATCCTACAAAGTATATATGTTATATAATCACAAAAAAAAATTCCTTATAATGGTGATGGGGGAGGGTGCCAGGAACTCTCGTTCATTTTGGGGTACTGCATAATTTCATGAATGAGTGAACGCAAAGCCTATCTACTGTAGTGTGGCGATTGCATAGCAATCGGAAAAAATAAATAAAAATATTAATACGAAAATTTTATGTCATTTGCTAGTACTGTATATATCTGTTAATTAAATTTATAACAAAATTTTTAAAAAAATTGATTCTCAATATGCTATTATTAATACTACACGTAGTTTGTTTGTTGTTGTTTTTTTTTACCAAAATAGCATAGCGCCTTTACTTTGCTGCCGTACACAACACATCACGCTTGTCAGTCCAGTTCATAAAATAGTAGGCAACAGAGCCTAGGCCTCTTCACTAGACCACTTAGAAATTCGTATAAGTAGTAAAGGGGTGTTGTGGCACGCCTCAGTCCAAGGGTATCTCCAAAATAACTAGTAGTATATAATAACAGAAATTAAATGGTAACCGAAATATTACTACACTACAGTACTAGCTAGTCTAGTATATAGTGCTACCTACCTACGTACCGTGCATCCTGGAGAGGCCGTTTTAATACACTATTTAGATAGGCTCTTCTTTTCCCATCTTGAGTTCAGAGGTCGAAACATATTTTCAATCATATAGTGGTGTAGAATAGTCTTTTACGAACATTTCCAGAAAAAAATTAATCTGATACGATCCTTCGATACGAAGTTATGGATTTTTAAATAACACAAGTTCAATAATTTAGCCTCAAACCTTATTTTATTTTTGTTTGTTACGCACCACTGACTTGATCAATTGGCCCCAAGATGACAGATTGAGGGCGTCCAGTAGTCACATGACCTTAAACGCTCATGTCGCAACTTCTATATACAAACTCTACCTCTCGTAAAGGAGAAAAAACATTGTCGGGGAGGAAACAGCCTTCAGTAAAGTTTTTACAGAATATGCGACTATAAAATTAATTAAATAAGCATTTCAAATTATAAATTGTCCGGACCTGTCTAGGTATTTGTATTGTTGGGGGAATCCCTTTATATCTTTAAGGGAAGAACATTATTTTCTGTTAGGTCTTACTTCCTTTTATTATCATAATCATTTATGTTTTTTCCAAATTTCTATTTTTTTTTGGTTTTACTGCTGCTTCTTATTTTCCAGTGTGTATTTTTTCTTTCTCTTATTGTAAATGTTGTGTGTATTGTACCAAATATGAGATTATTCTGATCACACTCACTACGGCCATTTGGTAATTTAGTTTCCCTATTGTTTTACTTGCCATCCATTTTTATCAGTGCCTTCTTTCTTTTAATTAAATATGCTTTTATATACTATTTTTCCATGCTTTTATAATCAAATGTAATTTTAATTTGTTTTCAATTTCAGATTGCGAAGCATAATGATAGTGTTCATCTTGAAAAGCCTAGAGGTCAAAGACCAGATGAAGAAATGGCAAAGAAAAGCATCTACATTCAAGAAACTTTTTATTAAAAAATATAATAAAAATATTGAATAATACATAGTTGAATTTTATTAATACTCAGGGATGTAAATTTAATGTTTTATTCTTGTTTAAGCTTAAATTTGTCTTTGTATGTATAATCTCCAACCTGTTAGTGGAAGTTTCTTTCTCTGTTGGTTGATTGAATAAAATAAAATAACAAAAATCAAATGAACTACAAATAATGAAAACTAACTTATTATTTCAGTCTGTGTGGTTTTAATTAACATTTATTTTGCAATTCTCTCATAAATACAATTTAAATGACAAAGAAGAACAGACAAGAAGATAAACTATACCCCTTACACAACATGTAACAAAAAAATCAACAAAATAGTAAACAAAGATCAATATTGGCCTAGTTATGTATCAACTGAACACTACATACATTGACAACAGAAGATAATTTTAGACCTTTGTAATTTTTACATAGAATATATGGGATATTGTCCCAGAAACAAAACCTCAGTTTTTGGTTTAGATACAGCAGCAATATTTGACATCAATGTACATCACTCAGCGACTGGAGAAATCCAGCAATTTCCATGGTGTAGAAAATGAATCTCAACAATAATTATTATTAGAAAATATGAATATTCAGTAGTTCATTACAAAACGAATTTACAGTGGAAAATAATCAACAATAAGACAATCAAAAAACATGCACAACTGGTCTCAATCACATTATAAATTCAAAAAAATAGGGATAAAATTGAGGGCGCTACATAGTAAATATAAATATTCAGTAGCAAATTACGAGACCAATTTACAGAGGAAAATAATCAGCCATAAGACAATCCCAATAACATGCACAACTGGACTGAATTAAATTATTAAATTATGGATGAAATTGAGGGCGCTATATAATAACATTCAATTACCAGGGTGTAGAAAAGCATACAGGTCCTTACAATTATTATCATTGGAAACGATGAATATTCAGTAGTAAATTACGACACCAGTTTACAGTGAAATAAATCAGCAATAAATACGACAATCACAAAAATATGCGGAACTGGTTTTGTATATATTTTATTATTAATTCAAACAAAGTAGTAAAAAATTGAGGGCACTACACAACCCGGTCGAAAATTTGCTTAGAAAATATGAATATTCAGTGTTAAGTCTATCATTATAAATTTGAACAAAGTAGGGATAAAATTGAGGGCGCTACATAATAACAAATTATGACACCAGTTTACAGTGGAAATTATTCAGCAATAAAACAACCACCACAATAACATTCACAATCGGAATTAAATTTAAAGCTTTGATTCAAAGTAGTAATGAAATTGAGGGCGCTACACAAATACATGGTCGTAAATCTGCTTAGTATATATGAATATTCAGTGGTTAGAACTCATTATATTTCAAAAAAGTAGAGATGAAATTGAGGGCGCCACCTAGTAAATATGAATATTCAGTAGTTAATTTTAACACCAGATTACAGTGGAAATTATTCAGCAATAAAGCAATCGCAATAACATGTTTACAATAAAAAAGAAAATCACACCTTAAAGTAGGAATAAAATTGAGGGCGCTATATAGTAAATATGAATATTCATTATGTGAAGCGCTTAGAGGCATTGTAAATGCATAACAATGACATATTATTATTATTATTATTATTAGTTAATTACGACACCAGTTTACTACAGAAATTACTGAACCATAAACTGGTCTACATAAATTAAAAGTAAGGATACGTTTGAGGGCGCTACATACATTTGACAAAATTGAGGGCAATATATAATAAATATGAATATTCATTATTTAATTAGGACACCAGTTTACTGCGGATATTACTCAACCACAAACTGGTCTATATAAATTCAAAATAGGAATAAATTTGAGGGCGCTACATACATTTAATCCAAATTACACCATTTATTTAGAAAAAAAAAACAAAAAAAACACAGAGGGCGGTATTAAACCCCTGCAATAAATTTGCATTGTTAACATGAATATTCATTAGCTTTGAAAACCTGTCGCTTACCATCCACAAATTAACACACTCTCTCAGATTCACTTGGTTAGCTCAGTGGTTAGTGTTACGGATTATAACCTTGAGGCTACTAGGTTCAAGTCACACAAATATCTTTTTATTTTTTTTTTAAAGTAAACAATAATTAAATGTCATTTAACACTTAGAAATTAACACACTCTCTCAGATCCACTTGGTTAGCTCAGTGGTTAGTCTTACGGACTGTAACCTTGAGGTTACAAGGTTCAAGCCAAACAAAAATTTTTTTTTATTAAACATTAAGTGTGGTTTAAAACTTAGAAATTAACAGAGTCTTTTAGTGAGACAGTTGGCTTGGAGGTAGACGCTCTACTTCCTAAACTTGGTACATAGGATCAAGTCTCACCACGGACAGGCACTTGGTACGGACAGGGCTACGGACAGGGCAGGCATCTCGGATAGACGCCACGGACAAGGCAGGCGTCTCCGGCAGATGCCACGGACAGGGCAGGGGTGTCACCACGTACAGGGCAGGCGCGAAGGATCGACGCCACGGACAGGGTAGGCGCGAAGGATCGACGCCAACGACAGGGCAGGCGCGAAGGATCGACGCCACGGACAGGGCAGGCGCGAAGGATCGACGCCAAGGACAGGGCAGGCGCGAAGGATCGACGCCACGGACAGGGCAGGCGCGACAGATTGACGCCACTGAGAGGTCATACAATTTTTGGGTTTTTTTCCCGTTTTTTTTGTTTTTTTTTGTTTTTTTTTGCAAAATTAGCAACAAAAAAAACAAAAATCCCTAGATTTGAACCACCAACCTTTAGATCTGAATCCAACATCACTAACCATTGCACCACAGACACATCTGATACAAAGTAATTAATTCTAAATGGTAAACCTTACACCAGTTAAGACTACAAAAATAAAAAAAAAAATTATCTGTTGTTTACTAATGTAAAGCACTGTAGAACAACCGAAATATGTTGTTTTTTAGTGCTAAACAATGTAAAACAACAGAAAAATCACTAAGAACAAAAAAGAATAGTTTTATGGATTTTATGTATGCAAAAATATTACAAAGTCTAAGAGTAACAGCATAACCCCCTTCTCATGACTGAATAATAACAGTGTTATAACAACATAGCAGGGTGGGGGTGGTTGGTGGGTCGGGACATATAAAATCATTATTTAACGACCATTATATAATATACAATAATGGATTGATTTAAATATTTATGCATGCTTAACTGAGACTTAAAATATTTAATGGTGTTAACAGCTTAAACGTCTCATCCGAAAGACAGTTGCTACCACCGGTTTAGCCGACAGAGTTACCTCCATTTAAGCCAATTAAACTACCATAAGTCTAGGCATCAGAATTATGATATGTTTTGTAAAATCAAAATTTAAAAAGGACACTAAAATAGCAAGTAATATTATTTTCAATTAATAAATGTCACGTATAAATTACATACTTTGAAAACAACATTCCAATTACGAAAAGAAAATGAGAAATCCAGTAGGTTGCTGAGGTTTTGCGTTTATACCAAGTTAACTTGTGACAAATACCTGCAAAGACAGAAAGCGTTTATAATGTTATTAAGTTTCATCAGTTGACAATGGCACCTCATCCCTTAATCTGTTTAAATTCTCTCAAGAAATACTCTAGTCTACTTGCTATCTCCCTACTGTGGCTTTCTGATATCATAGACAATGGCGGCACTTTGGGGGACTATGGGGGTACATGCTTCCGTCGGGGATAAAAAAAAAAACCACAATTTGTCAGGAGAAAGGAAAATTATATGTATTGCTTACTTATTAACAAACTCTAAAATTTAATAAATAAACCTTTCAAACCCCTAAATTGTCATATTTTTGGGGGCTTCACCCCCCACCAGGACCGCTTTCCAAAGGTTTTTAACGACGCCCGACCACGGCCACTTTTTTCTCGTCGAGGATATCAGCTCCCTTGTCAGGAATCCTGCACCGCCACAGGTGATAGATCAGTGGGGAACAGGTGGGGGTGGGGGAAGGAGGAATTTTACCTAGAGTTTTCTATTGACTACGAACACAACGATACATCCCTCATGCCAATTTTTGTTTTAAAAAATGCCAAAAGATGGACACCTATGATGTTTTTTTTCTGCCATTTTAACAGTATGGTAATAGTAGTAGGCTCAGCTAGAACTGCCAGTGCTACCCATGCTTGAAAATGTCTGTTCAAAAATTGGTGCTTTTTCCCTACATTGTTATCTAAGTTCAGAACTTTTAACTAATAATACATGTGAACCAAGTGGTTGATCCGGGCCCTAGGGTACACATCTGACATTTGTAATGCCTGTGAGGGGAAGGGGACCTTAACTTCTGTTGGGAAGAAGCCAAACAACCATACTTATTTTTATCTACTAAAACGTACGTTTAATGATGTTAATTATTTGAAAAAGTTTGTGGTACCTTTAACTTCAACAGTAAATTGACAGTAACCAACATTCCCATTACAATCTGTTACTGCATATCCTACTGTGTATACACCAATTGTCAGAGAATCTGTCTCTTATACACATCTTTGCTGCATAGGCAAATATATATATAAAATAAAATAAAACTCGTAGAGATGGTAATAGATTTGCCTCAAAATTTATTAAGAAAATAGACGAGATCTTTCGGGCGTAACCCTTTATCAAGTCAGTGAGTCATCTCACTGACTTGATAAAGGGTTACGCCCGAAAGATCTCGTCTGTTTTCTTAATAAATTTTGAGGCAAATCTATTACCATCTCTACGAGTTTTATTTTATTTTATATATATATTTGCCTATGCAGCAACTCTGATTTTCCTGTTTTACTTATATATATATATACATATATATATATAAACACATACACACATATATATATGCACACACACACACACAAGCATACACACACACACAAATATACTCTATATATAAATTTAAAATAAAAGATATATATAAAAAAATTAAATATGAAATGAATAAATAAATAAATAACAAATAAATAAATAAAGTAAAATATTCATAATACTATTTAAATTAAGATAGTACGGTAGATACGTTAGTCTCGATTACGGTTGCATAAAATAATGAGTGTCATCAAGTCAATAATTACAATAAGATAATCGCCATGCATTTTGCATCAGAAGAATAAATACGAAGTTAATTAATACGAAGTGATGCCTGCCCCAACCCATTGCGCTGCACGTCCCAAAAACCTGCGAAAAAAATCTCACTGGTTAGTTGAAGGTCGTGGTCTCAATTCCTACCTGAGTCATTTACAGAATGTTCCCACAAGTACCTGGGAACGCACTGAGGACCCAGCACACAGAACACGCCAAGTAGGGCAAATATCACTTCGTACAATGAGATAAATAATATAACAAATAATATAACAAGAGGCTTACCTGCCATATACTGAGACCAGAAATTTACAGTGGCTGATTTAGGAATTCGAAGAGGGTGTGGGCAGCGGGACGTTCACAGATGTAGGTAGGCCTCAACCCAACCATGGATGGAGCTGAGGAGGAACATATATGATTATGGCACTCTCAGACATACATTTTAGAATATAATTTTCTTTATTTCCAATTTTGTTTAATTATTTGGAAAATGTAGGGACCGGCTGTCTCCCACACCTCCCTGTCTCCCACACCTCCCCCTCCAGCCAGGAAATGGAATACAAATTTTTGTGCCTCTGCTCATGAAAGTGTCTTGATAAAATGCCTCCAGCACCAAAGGTTATCTGTATTTTTTTAAATTTCTTTGCCCAAAAATGCTTCTGGGACGTTCGTGTTTCCTTTGACTGCCAGTCATGCACTTTTTTGTTAAATGAAAAAATGGGGCGGGTGGAAAAAGATTTTTTTTTTTTTCACGATTACTCATCAGATAGAAATAAACATAACCCACAGTTGACATTTTGCAAATGAATGTAGTCTAGACAACAACTTTAGACAGCATTGTAGGGTATCTGGCAAAAAATCAATATAGTTTCACTAATTTTTTTTTTTTTAATTTGTAAAAAAAAAAACTAAAAAAAACCAAAAAATAAATGTTTTTGTTTTGCCGCCCCTATTTTTTTTCAGTGATTTAGGGGCGGGTGTGAGGAGAGCAAACAAAAAAATCATTTTTTTGGCATAGTGTGGTACCCATCGGCACTGATTTCCATGCTGAGACAACTGATGATAAAATATTGAAAACATGCAAATGAATTTGAGGGAGATTGGTTATTTCCTGGGAGATTCTTGCTTAAAGGAGTGTAGAAGTTTGTTCCAATTTCTAGGAGACTCCCGCGAGTTCCAGGAGACTTGTGACCCCTGCCCAGATGATGTCAATAAAAAAATTTGTGTGTGTACGAGGGGCACCTTAATGCCATGGTGTGAGATCTAATCACATGGTCGTAAATAATGATGAAGAAATAAGATAATCTTATAGTGATATTTCATGGCAGCAGAAGGCTGGGGTGGATGCTGGGTTTGGTGGTATGGGTATGTGAGAGTCGGCACCACCTCAACCCCGCCATTGTTGGGGTTGAGCAGTGGTGGCTCTAGGATATCTTCTGGGGACGCTAAGCTGTCCGACAAGAGGTTTGTCCGGGGTCTCCCCCCCCCCCACCTCCCAAATAAGATTTCTTGATGTCCGGATATGGCACACTGAGACTGTGACAGACATGTGTTGACTTGGTGTGGGCTTATTTTTTTTAATTCCCCCACCCCTCCCCCACTGGCACTGCCCCTGGGGTAAGGTGTGAAGATTTAGAAAATATGGACCTGTAGGTGCCCGGAAATTGCACTCTCATACCTTCAAAATCTTGCAGCCTCGGTCTTAATTGTGTAAGGGGATGGGGGATCGTGTCAGATAACTGCACAGTCTGCACCCCTTCATATACCCCAGGAAGGCATGGTAAAACAAAAAAAAATTTTTTTTTCTTCAAAATTGATCTTTCGTTTTTTGTTTTTTTTTACGCAACAGGCCCCCCTACAAATAAAAGAATCATAAAAAAGTAATATAAAATAATGCCTTCACAACAAGCCGTTCTCTAAGGGCCAGGCATTAAAGCGCCAGGCATTAAAAGCCCAACAACCAGGACACAGCGCGCTTACTCACTGCAGCAAGCAACTACCTACTACCTATTTTCTCTATGCTACTACTATACTAGCGGTAGCAATAGGGACGGGCCTAGTAGGGACGGGCAATAGACCTCTAGGTCTACTACAATTATATAGGTCTTGCATTACTTCTAGATCTATACATTTACTTTAATGAACAGTGAGTATTATAGCTTTCAAAATCCAGAAACTTATGTTATATTTTGCGTTATATATTGTAAAATGTTTCAGCACTTACTCGTTTCTCCTTGTGGTTTTGTTTATTGTTTTTGTTTTGAACCATAGCGCCCCCACAAATAAAAATCACCTAGTTAACAATACAATAGAAACGGATTCATTAACAACTCATCACAACGTAAATACGGGATTCGAAAATGTTCGTTTCCCGATCAGGAAACAAAGCCACATTTTCAACAGTCTCGGCTACTGCAACCGATTCGTGTTTTATTTTGTTAATTTCCAACTCTTCAAAAACATCGGTATATACAAAAACGATCAAATTGTTAATGAAAATTAGAAATAACCTTCAATTCCTTGATGAATATCAGACCACAACGTAAAATTGCACCCTACGTAAAATTCTGTACATTAAAATAATTTACTTTCCGTCTGATTTCGAACAAAATGGGCAGCGAAAATGCTTGGTAAATTGATAAAATCAGAAAAATAGAGGAATCTTCTCGAGCCCAACATAAACAAGACACGATGAGTTTCGTGTCCGTATTAATTATTTACGTTGTTGGGACAAAATTATCAATTACTGTAAACTAATCAGCTCCCATAATAATAAAAATAACTATTCACTATCCTTATTGTGGTACCAAGCCTAGTTAACAATACATTACAACGTACCGTGATTACGGAACTTGAAAGTTTTCGTTCCCCGACGATCAGGCAACAAAGCCACATTAGGAACAGTCTCGGCTACAGCAATCAATTCGTGCTTTATTTTGTTAATTTCCAACTCTTAAAAATCATCCGTATATACAAAATACGATCAAATTGTTAATGAAAATTAATTACAACTAATCTTGAATTACTTAAAGAATATCAGACCACAACGTAAAATTGCAACCTACGTAAAATTCTGGACACCAAATTTGCTTTTCATCTGATTTCGAACAAAATGAGCAGCGGCGCGAAGAATGTTTGATAAATTGATGATAAAGTCAGAAAAACAGAGGAATCGACTTGAGTACCCCCAACATAAACAAGACACGATGAGTTTCGTGTCCGTCTTAATTATTTACGTTGTTAGGAAAAAACGTTCTAAAATTTCTTAATTAACGACAAAATGTTCAATTACTGTAAACTAATCAGCTCCCATAAAAATAAAAATAAACTATTCACTATCCTTAATGTACGATGGCCCACAAGGGACACACTGCAAAGAAAAAGAAATGCTGCAAACAAAAAAGAAACGCTGCAAACAAAAAAGAAACGCTGCAAAAAAAAAAGAAATCATGGAAACAGAAAAGAAACGCTGCACTGTATTCAACACAATAATTATCAATAAACTATGATATGAAATTAGATTACGAATAAAATAATCAATGCATATTAAATAGAACAGTCTAAATTTAAACGTTCAACACAAACACTTAATTAGTACTAATATATGCAAGGTGTTCCATACACCTTGTACCGTATATTTATAAGTAACAATGTATTACCTTAATTGGCAATATTAATTAAGGTACATAATTATACAGTTAGTTAAGAAGAGCGAGGTTTTTGGATCTGTTTCTTGTTCGTACTGAAGATGGTTGAAGAGTAACACTCGAAACATGTTTACAATTAAATCCTTAGCTTTCCTTAAAATGTACTGTGTTTTTCATCAATTTACGTCCGTTTGGTACCATTATCAAGGACTTCAGTTCGAAAGATCTGCCTGTACTACTTACTTATAAAGTACGAGAAGATATCTTTACGCTTCATCAAAGCTGAACTGAATTATAATTTCTTACATAGTTTATAATTGCAAAAAAATCGCGTTAATCCGAAATCCTCGACGGGAATTCCAATTTCCCCGACGAGAGCAATGTAGGCGTGGTCAGGCGTCGATCAAAATATTTCGAAAGCGGTCCAGGGGCGAAGCCTCCGAAACCTCTGACAGTATGACAATAGGAGTTTCAAAGGCTTATTTAATCAATTTTAAAGAGTCTAATAATATGCAGAAAAATACTTTTTTTTCTTCTCGACGAATTTTGGTTTTCTCCCCGACAGGGGAAACTCTCCCCGACGAAAGTGGGGTGAGGGAGGGGTGGGGGACACTGGCACCACCACTAAGTGGGTATAGTGGTAGTCCCTCTACAGACTGTTTCATGCTAACCTCAGGAGTGAGAGAATACAATGATAGTAATATCAATTGTCTACGATTGGCAGAGAGTATCAGCCTACTACACAAAAATACAACGCTACAACCTGCAACCATGTACAAGAAGAAGAAGAAGAAGCCAAATGAAATTATTTTTGAATTTCACTTGATCTAAAATTTCTTTTTGCGTTTCTTAAACATTTTCAAGAAAAATTAAAAATCATCATGGCCCGTTCTGGTGCAGGTAATACGTCTACATTTTATAGTTTTTGATGGTCAAACCATGGTTCAACGCTGGTTTCCCATGGTGTTTTCATTTTACCCCATTAGCATACTGCTTACAGATTTCATCAACGACTACATTATCCAAACTCCCCTTCACAGAGCCCCATTTCGAATAAACGCACGCGTTGCTTATCGTCTCAAATACTGTAGGTGGTTATTACTGAAAAGAACTAGCAAAGCTAACCACGATACAAGTACATTTATGAATAGCGCCATCAATATTATTGTAACAAGTTGGCCATTGTTCTTACTTTTTTGGCCGATTTCAGGCTCAGAATATTTTCAGGCACAAAATACTTATTTTGTTCTCATTTTACACACTTTTCAAAGATAGATAGATAATTAGTATTGTTAAGCATTATAGAGGGTATTGCATAGTCACAGATAAAATTGGTTGGTTTTTCTTTAAAAAAATTTGAAATTTTACTTCAGCCTCAATTTGTTCTTATTTTTAAAGTAATTTCATCCTCAGTATTCTTATAAAATGTGTTTTTATTTATTAAAAAATGTTTACTTTTCAATATCTAAATAGCATAAATATTCGAACATCAATATTTACTAATTTAAACACTTAGGAAATCATCATCATCACCACCACCATCATCATCATCATCATCATCACTGCTGTTATCAACAAGTCAATCATCATCAACTGTTTGATTATGTTTCATTTTACAATACATATTCAAGTGGGGAAAGTTTAATAAAAAGTTATTTTTACAAACTGTTATTATGAAAACTGTCAGTATCACGCTTACTTATACTATAAACACAAGTTTATGTTATTTCATTTCCAAAGTCATGAACAAATATCGTCAAACGTTCATTAATTTGTGCTTAATTCACGTTGATGTAATGTATGTACCCGATATTGCGTCGTGCCGAGTCTATCGCAGGGCAATTAAAAGCCTACATGTATGTTGTTTACATTATCGTGTATTATATTAGTAGAGTGTAAACAAATCCGTCACTCCTGAAGACCTTCTCTTGATCTACGTAATCTGATTGGTTATCAAATCGCGTCAACGAAAATAGAAAATGTCAACAATGGCACGCGCGTAGTCCCAAAGGTAAACTGATAAAAGTGCTAGGCACGTAAAATCGGTAGTGGTATATCGCAACTGACGTGGTTAGCCGCTGATATCACCTCCTCGCAGCTGGCGTTTCAGCTAGAATGCGAAGTAGTTGAGAATTCGATAGGTGAGAATTAAACCACCTGTGGTATGTGAACAGATAATTCTATAAAACTGTAAAATTTAATGTGTCTGAAATAAGATCAACATTATTAATATCCTTTTGTGCCTGTCCTTGTTAAATATTTAATACAACTACCTAGACTTTTAATTACTGTACAGTATAAGCAAAAACATTTCTGTTTCAT